ATGGATGAAGGAATAATCAAAGAGATAAGAGAAGGCTAGCACTTTTCTCTTTATGGTGACCGGCCTATGTGTGAGGAAAGAGAGTGTTTTTGTTTCTTTTTAGGTCCTAATTAGAAAGGCAATAAGGCGATTGGTATCAATCTAATTGATAGATGGTTTAAATATGACAGATGATAACCCAAAATTTACTCATTTTATCATGCCTATAAATATAAATATACATTATAAATTCGACGACTCTTGCAGGTTCTTTGCCCAGAGTACTTCGCGGAAGGTCTTTTGGGGACAGACAGACATGCATCAAGCCTTGCCATATCTCGTCCATGACGGTATCGATCTTGGGGTTTTCGTTGTGCACTGGGGCGTACAGTTGGTTGCGGTGTGATTTGGGAGGAATCTCCATTGAGGTAGAGTGATTTGGTCAGGAGGAATATGAGTTCATTCTCAACAAAAGCAGTAATAGTTTGAACAAATTTGCGCACCGCCATAGATGGTGAAGGCATAAACTCAAGCAACCTATAAAATAGAAAACAACCATAAGCAAGTCTAAGATCAGGAGGGGTTGTGGGTGTGCCAACCAAAGGCTCTCAAACGGTTAAGTTAGTAAGTAGCTTTAGACTCAAGCAGTGGGCAAAAGAATTAGAGTATTGAGATTGTGTTACCAGAGATGAACCTTAGATAGGTATACTTAAACCGTGGGGAGAGAGACCTTTTTAGGATAGGATTCTTGTTCTAAGCCAGGAGAATTTTAGATGATATCTAGAAGTAGATACTGCACTTTCTTAGGAGTTGTGATTACTTGTAGCGCACGTCAATTCCTAAATTGTAGAAACTCCCAGACTTAGAATCTAATTGAATCCATATTCGGATCGGATCGCGTGTCTTGCGGAACAAGCATGATTATCTGGCGGAGTCGCTCGGACTTCGTCTATTGCCTCGGAATAGAATGATGGTGGCACCGCTGCTCCGTCGAATCCAACTTCACTCAAAGCTAGTGAGTCTATGATCGTACTCCTTAGATAATAGTATTTGAATCAGCCTTACTTTGACCCTAAAAAATCATGGTCCCACAAATGGTATGGGATATTTATCTTTGATAGTCAAAGCATTTAATTCCTTATGGTCCATGTACATTATCCAAGTCTCTTCTTTCTTCCTAACCAACAACATTGGGAAGGAAAATGGGCTGACTAGGCCTAGTAAAAACAAACTTGCAACAATTCTTGGACTGGTTTTTCAATCTCAGTTTTTTGTGGGGACTATAGTGTAATGGCCTGATATTTGGTGGCTTAGCACTAAGTATCAATGGGATCTTATGGTCATGGTATCTGATTTGAATTTTGGATAAATTCTAGTTAATGCTTAAATTAAGTAGTTAAAATTTTATAGGTGCAATTATAAAGGTTACAAATAAGGACGAGGCACCTATTAAGGATTATGCTCACAATTCGGTGAGTATATCCCTTCTAAAATCTACGTTTTCAATTAAACGTTTTTGATAAATAATTTATTTACCTAGTCTTTGCATGAGACTTATATGAATTTTAGAAAGGTGAAATTAAACATTTTTGTGCTAGCTAGTCTCGGATGAGACTTACTTAGCTATGGTCAGATGACCAAATAATTAATGTAGGGTTTGTTGGTGAATTATTTTCACCACATGGTCTTTTATATGCCTTGTATAGCTATCCTCGACAGTAGCTTATTTGTAGGTATTATATTTCTTGTAGATGCTAGGAATAATGTTATTACCAGTAGAGAATTTAGCTAGTAGAGGCTAGCATACCCTGCTTTTTATACTTATGCTAGTAGACGCTAGTGTGATTAATTGAATACAGGTATGATTTTTGAACTATTGCTCGATTGTTTTCAATTGATGATTTGATTGTGATTCTCATTTACTATTATGGTAGTAAATATTATTATGTTGTTTTCCAACTATATATGTTTTACAAAACGGGAGTTGATATGTTGAAAATGATTTTGACTTGATAATTAAATATGATCCACTCACACATTGTTTTGCGCCCCTCAAGTCCTAGCAAGTGCAAGGCGTACGTTGAGATGGCTGAGTGAGCATGGCAATAATGTAGACTTCCTACGTAGGGTAGTTTTACTTTTGTTTAAACTCCATTGAACTCTAATCAATTGTATGACTTTACTTTTGATTATAAATGACACAATGCAATACATTTGTGGTTTACAATTGTATGCACTATTGTTATGCTCTCATTGATGTGATCTAAAATCGGAATTAGATCTAGATTGTGTCCCCAAGTGGGGAGGTTGTGCAAGGAACCTAGATGTTAGTATAAAATTAATAGTTGAGCCTTCCTATTTGAAATATTTCACATCACAATTTCCTTACTCATGGCTTCATCATTAAGTTGATGATATTTCGTCAAATTGGTGATGGCCATCATATTTCCACCCTTAGCTAGAAGGCTAATCGAGTCGGGGTGTGTCACTATCACTTTGTAAGGGAGAGTTCAACAAGGTCATCTGGAAGTGGCTTATATACCTACTGATGATCAAACATCTGATGTCTTAACAGAGGGTCTTCACAATCCTTCTTTTGTTAAACATTACTACAATCTCAAGCATGGAAATCCCAGCTGAGATTGAAGGAGGGAGGATGTTGACTATCATTGACTGAGCAGTTTGCAGTTTGCCAGTTAACACTGTTATAATAGTAATTGTCTAGCTAGTGCTTAGTTTGTTAAGTTTGTAAAAACATAATTCCTTAAAATGTAAGAAAGCTCTCTAAGCTATCTAAACATTGTACAAGTTGTTGATCTTAATTGAGTGAAAATACAAGAGATTAAGCCTTTCAATTCTCTACACTGCTCTTAATAGATATCCAACAGCTGATCAAACACGAAGAAAATTAGAATTGAAATAAACGGCCAACTTGGCTAACTAGTTAGTTCCACCAAGACATATAAAATGTACGGGTTCTGGGGCACCGATTCTTAAAAACCCTAGAGAAGTCTATAGGGCAACAATTTCCAAAATTGCAAAAATATTGATCAATCTTGCACATAGTGCAAGGATTATTGCATCTTCCTAGAGTCCTTAATTGGTTCGGTTACTGCCAATTAATATCAGCCGTGCACTTGATCCCCCTAGTGCTCCCATTACACGTGGGACTAATGTCCATAGGTAAATAAACCCATTAATAAGAGAGATGTCAAAGAAATCCAAGTTGTTATATTGATTAAGGGCATATTCGGCTATGGTGTTTGGAGGTTGACCCTAACCTTGGCGCCACAATCACCTGTTAGGCATCGGCCATGCCATGCTTTATCAAAGTTGCATCCAGTCCAAGCCCACATGCGAGCCTTTTTAGTACGGAACATACATCCAAAACCCTAAAACCCAGGGTCTATGCTGAGCTGTTGGCCACCACCTGGTACAGTTTCGGTTGTCAAATCAAGTTGCATTTGAATCGTGAAGAGGTTCATGAGGTTATATTTTTACGTACATGAACTTACACATGGTCACCAAATGACATCATTTTCTAGGCTTGTTAATTTCCACCACTGGCGACAGGAAGACCAATATTTCTTCTTTCCACTATTTTCCACAAGATAAGGTGTGAGAGACTTTTGTATTGGCAACAGGAAGACCAATATTTCTTCTTTCCACTATTTAGGAAGACCAATATTTCTTCTTTCCACTATTTTCCACAAGATAAGGTGTGAGAGACTTTTGTACTGGCAACAGGAAGACCAATATTTCTTCTTTCCACTATTTTCCACAAGATCAGGTGTGAGAGACTTTTGTACTGAAAGGAAAACTTTAAGGGTTGAATTAAATTGACCGCACTGATTTGTGCCAAAGGAAAATTAATTGTTGATTGCCTAATTAGTCACATCGAGTAAGAGAACGACACGTTTGATTATTGGCATGTCATATTTATTCTTGACGTTATGAGCAAATTTATCACACTAAACTTTAAATGCAAAGTTTTGGTTATATCTAACATACCAGTTCAAACAAACATAAACTAATTTAATTTGTGGTGTGCCAATTCATGAATTATTACTTCATGGTATAAAATCATGACTCGTATAATCTATTTGTTCATATTTTGTGTTTTCAACGCCAACATATTTCGTGACTTTCCACACTTTCATGATTAATCTGTGGCGCCTCGGGTGCACGGGTTGCTGTCTCGGATTGATAGGTTTGGACGTTTGGATCCAAGCTAACCCAAAAGAAAAGGAACAAATTAAGGGTTTGATTGGTATTCTATTAAAAAAATTTCATCACTTATATCAAAATATTTTTTAAAAATATCTCTTAAAAATAATTTTCTTTAAGATTCAAAAACTTATTTGGTATGATATTTAGAATTATTTTTAAATCTTAAAACTTAAACTGGACAAAGAGATTCAAGGAGAGTGGATCGCATGAGAGGGAGAAAGAGGAAAGAGAATGAAAGAAAGAAAGAAAGAAAGAAAGAAAGAGGAAATAAGAGAAAAGAAAGAGAGAGAGATGATTGGATGAGAAAGAAAGAAGAGAAAGGATCATAAAAGATAGAAAGAAGGGGAGAAAAAGTTATATCAAACGAATTTTTAAGACTTAAAACTTGAAAAGTAAATTTGAATTTTAAAAATCGTATTCAAATAGAATACTAAACAGCCTTACCTACTTCGAAGAATATCTATTAAACACTTTTATCATCCAAATTCTGGCCCAAAAGACCAGCATGCATGCACGCATATAGAAGATGGCTATAGCCCTTGGAAGGCTCAATGTTGTGAGAAGTAGAAAACTGCTAGATGGCATTTTTAAATATGGTTTCTACCACTTAGGTCGCTGCCTTTGAAATTGGCATAAACAGCTATTCAATTGGTATTGCCATGCACAGAATCAGAATATTTTTCCAATTCTAGGAAGGCTTTTGATTTGAGAGGAGTGCTAGCTTGACCTGCTAGCTAGTAGCTAATCTAGCTAAAAGAAAATTAAACAAGTAATTAAGAATACGATAAAACTCTGTGAAGCCATAGTTGCTATTACATAGTTGCTTGGATGACATTACAAGTACTGTGTTGTGTTACATATATAATGCACACCATAACATGTGTTGGCAAAGCCTTCAATCTAATTTTATTGCATCACAAGCTTCTTGTTCATACGTACGCCATACCATAAAGTAGCCGATATATATGCTTCAATTATGGGCAGAAGACAACCCTGTAGTTAGTCCCGCTAGGGCATGTAAATGTGCTGGTTTGGTCATCCTTAGGGTAACTATAAGCATCTGGGCACCGGCGCTTAAAAAACCTAGACAAGTCTGTAGCGCTACATCTCCCAGAATTACAACAATACTGATCAGTCTTGAACACAGTACAAGGGTTGTTACACCCTCCTGGAGCCCTCAGTTGGTTAGGGCACTGCCCATTAATATCAGCCGTGCACCTAATCCCCCTAGTGCACCCACTAGACGTGGGACTGAAGTCCATAGGTACATTAAACCCATCAACAAGAGAGATGTCAAAGAAATCCAAGTTGTTATATTGATTAAGGGCATATTCAGCTAGGGTGTTTGTTGGTTGACCATAGCCTTGGCATTGGAGGGCACCCCCGCAATCACCTGTTTGGCATCGGCCACGTCCTGCTCCATCAAAGTTGCATCCTGTCCGACCCCAAATGCGAGCCCCTGTGGTACCGGCACTCACATCTAAGGCCCATGATTGGCCTCTTTTGAGCTGGCGGCCACCACCTGGCACTGCGGCTGCCCAGACAGTGTAGGCGCAGTTGTTTCGAATATCGAATCGAGCTGCATTGGTTAATGCAAAGAAAAGAGTGGTACATAAGATGGAGAAAACTAAGAGGCTCTTGAGAAGGCTCATTGTGGAAGCTAAGCAATACTAAATCTAATAGATTGGGTTTTGTTGCGTTGTGTTTTGAAACTCGAGGAGGTTCATGAGGTTATATAGAGCATTGGTGGTACTTATGTAACATGTTCGTCACCTAATGACATCATTTTATTAGCTCATCATTTCCACCTATGGGTAAAAGAGGCCCAATGTTTCTAGTTTCCACGAAATGATAAATATCGTTTAGTTGTTGATAGTGAAATTATTTTTTGTTAATTTTAAAATTACAACTGTGACATGCAGGTCTAAATAATTATGACCTAACTGAAGGGAAATCTATGAGATTCATGTGGGATTTCTAGTGACTAGCATGCATATACAATTCAAAATTTATATACGAAAGCAACGGAAGCATGTCATACATTTTATCAAAGCTATAGTCATGCAAATCCCCTTCAAGATGCATAGGTTTATATAAGATGCATCAAAACAAAATTTATAAGAAGAACAAACTAGAGGTTTAGTTTTATACCTCTTGATCTAGATCTTAGACCAAGGATGGACCACCTCCAAGATCTTTGCTCCTCAAACTCCTTGAGCCTAGCCTCCCTCCTTGCTTCCTCCACTTTGTATAGTAAGTGCTCCTAGGTTCTCTTCAAGTTTCCAAAGATATGAAAACCTCTAAAGATCCTCACCCACTTTGTAATGAGAAAGATGAAGGAATAACCAAAAGGGTGTATAGATGATTAGTTAAATCACCCCCTTGGTGGCCGGCCCTTTGTGTTCAAGAGAGAGAGAGCTTTTCTTTTTCTTTTTTTTCTTTTGTTGTTTTAGAACACATCAAAACCCTAATCAATCTTTCACTATAATGTTCCTTTTATTACATAAAGAAACAAGTCAACAATTGACCTTCTCTCTCCCTCTCTTTGGCCGGCCATATGTGTTTGGTTTGGGCTTTGGGCTTTTAATTATTTCAAGTCATCCAATGCTTGAATAAAAGCCCAATGGGTTTTGGCCCAATGGGCCTAATTAAACCCGAACGTTTCTATAAGCCCAAAACGATCTTTATCGCTTTTATGATTTCTTTAGACTTTCTAAATTAATCAAAACACTTAATTAATCCAATTAATTATTTCCTTCATCCATTAGTTACTCACTACAAGAGTGTATTGGTGAACAATCTTTTAGGTTCTAATTAGCAAGGCAGTGAGGTGATTGGCACCAATCCAATTGATTATCCAATCACTTAGTGAATTAAAACTTACTTTTAATTCACCTTCCTTTTGATGACTACATTTAATTATCTAGAAGAACTCACAAGCCATGAGTGACATCTAACCATATATCATGGCTACCCAAGCTAATGTAGAAGTTTATTCGGAGAACCTATTCAGTTGGAATTACAATGTAATTCGATCCTTCTCTAAAACAATACTCTCAATCATATCACTAGGGTATGGATTTATAATGTCAAACCCCTAATGTGATTATTCCTACTTATACGATTCAATTGAGATGTATAAGAATGCTTTCCTTTATTACGCTCGATACTTCGGCCGAAGATTCCCGAATCATATCTTAGAGTATTCATCCTTTCTTATCGAGGATTAGAGATTCCTTGTTGCGCATTCACTTGCCTTCATGGCTAAGTGGCTTAACCCCAACGATGCCTTGGACACTCGCGTATGGAATGACTTTAACATAATCAAAGATTAAGTACTTAACCACAAGACAACGACGATGCCTCAGGTCAAAGGATTACTTACATTATTCCAACCATTAGAGTTACTTGCTTGACATGTGAGTAGACCTCCATGCAAGTACTCTCGTTCGATTGTGTTCAGTGAACTCATTCCCTTAATGAGCACCTACATGCTTGTCTTAGTGTCGCTACACGAATGGGATGAGACTTTCCATCCTTCCAATTGAAGCAGACATAGTATGTACCGGTCTATGGATTGTCAGTATCCCTCCGACAATCCTTATGACCAAGAACCTTTTTGGACATGATGGTTATGAGAAGAAGGTCTCTGTAATCGAACATCATTAGGTTACTTCTTCCATCGATCCATTGTCCGTGGATTCACTATTTAGGACATATTTTGTTCATTGAGATAGTCCTAATTAGTATCTTTGCCTTCCGATGTATAAGATTCATATATACATCAATTCATTGTCCTGAAAGGTTTCTTCCAAAGATTGACTTTCAGGGCATATTTCCAACAATCTCCCACTTGCACTAAAGTCAATCACTAGTGTATCTTATACATGCTAGTTGAGTGAGCTTATGCTCGTAGGTTAACTTGGTTATGTATTAGTCACCTTTTAATTTAAAAGGGATTTACTTATCAAATGTTTCTAAAACATTTTGATGATGTCTCTTTCTTGTGTTCGAATACTTTGATGAGACCTTGATTCCATGGCTTGAGCTATCGCCCCATTACGTCGTAGTATCCTACTAACGACCTTATGGTTTGGATTCAATCATTGGTTCTAAAAGAACCCCTTCCTTTCAAAACACCTTTTGAAGCAGTTTCTAAAACAATATATCGACATATATTTTGTTTGTATACTTTATACAAACTTTGCTCCAACCTTGAGACCATTGTAGTACGATACTAACAATACATTCATATGATTAGTACTTCATCCATTATGAAGTTCCATTTGTTAAAATGGGTTATTTTCACTTTGGTTCGTAACCTAAGTGAATGCACGCTTCCAAAGTCCCACTCTGATGTTCCTTTCTTAAAGGCAATAATACTCTATCAGTTGCTTTGGTTCTGATCCTGGGATATAGTAATATCTTAAAGTGATAACCCATGGTTTTTCACTTTTGGATATCTACTCACAAGTCCATACATGTGTCCCTTTTTGTGATTTTATGACACATTCATTATAAGGGTTATGAAAGTGATTTTCTATCATATAGTAAAATGCTTTCTTAAATCTTCAACATTTGAGATTTAATTTCCCCATATAACTTCCTTGAGATAGCCTTTGTTATATCAATAAGTCCAATTCAAGTCTATACTTAAAATTAACCGTGTCATGTCTTGTGATTTTTCGAGTAACATCTAGGTTTGATCAAGTCTATCAAATAGACTTCATTCATATCTTGTTGCTCAAATTATGACATCACTCCCATTGGGCTTGTTGTAACTTAGCATTCATTCAAAACTTAACACTTAAATTTTTCTTGATTTGAATGCATATTGTTCCCACTAACTTGTTTTGGATCTATTGACAATCATTGAGATCCATTAGCTTATTAATGATGTCTCAACAATTTTGAGACTATCAACAATACTAGCTAACACAAGTTATTTAAATGAATCATTTAAATGGTGTCATACACCATTCTTCAAGTTTTAGTCATACTAAGACTTTAATGTAGTCATATAAGAATTATCCAAGTCTTTAGTGAAAGCAAGGCTTCTACTAAGGATATAGAAACTCAACCATTCCTTCTAGGTGGTTGATATAATTCTTTATCAAAAAAAAACTACATGGAGCGTTATAGTTACATAAGGTGACGAATTCGGATTGTCTTGTTGTTAAACTATATGTTGTGACTCATTTTGAAACTATTCCCTTTTGTTTCATCAACTTGTCCATATGCTTTGTAATTTAGCTTGTTCTCATAAAAGAGAATGATGGACAACTCCCAACATATAACCATTTTATGCTAGGTTGATGAAACCTACATTCAAAGACTATTCTTTAGAATGTTACACAACATAGAATATTAATGTTTTGTAGAGCTTGAGTCTTTTAACAATTAAAATTATAAACTCTCAATAATAGTCAAGTACTATTATTATTTAGACAACTATAAACCAATCATATTCAAGTTTATATCCAATTTCTCACCTCCCACTATTTCTCATGACTTTAATGAGAAATCATTTCATACATTCAAAAATTGTATAAACGTGGAGTATACGGGTTGAGGACATTGTGTAGTAGCCTTAAAACCTTTCAAGCTCATTTGTTTCACTCTTCACTAAGTTGATGTCTTGTTATTAAGTGACTAAAACCTTTAAACATTTTATTGATTTAGACACTTAAATTTTTGGTTTAAACACACTTGACATTTTAAAACAATTTTAAGAATGTCCAATTAATTGTTCAAAACTACTAATTGAATCAAGAGTGATCTTGATTATTGTGGTTTAAGTGATAACCATATAAGAAACGTTTTTCTTATTTCTAATATCATTATTATCATGTATCTCATCTAGGATACAACAAGACAATCTTCAATTCATAACATTACTTTAAGGAAATATTTTAGAAGGCATTCGTCACATTACATTAATATGATAACACAAACATTCACAATGTTTAACTTAAAAGGAATTATCTCTAAACATTTAGAGACTTATTTAAGTACCTTCAAACATTTAGGCATTAATAGTGGTCTTCCATCATATGAAGCCACATAATAAGTTCTTAACACAATAAGAAAGTTTAAAGACAATCTTTAAATGCCTAAACAAACTTCCCAAGTAGTAAGCAAAAACATGGTGACCGAACCCTTCTCCACTCTTTTATTTGCTTGTTCCTCTTCTACTTAGCTCCTCCACCTATATACAATTATATAAGTGATTAGCACTTTATATCAAATATAAATATTTAGAAGATCTAACAATTAGAATTGAAGATAAGAACATAAACCATACCTTGTAGCTTGTCCTTAAGAGTTGCAAGGTATAACCTGCAATTCCTCTTCCAATGTCCCTCCTTTCCACAGTGGTGGCAAGCCCCCTTGGGCTCCATTGCCTTCTTTTTCTTCACTCCCCCTTTCGGCTTAAGAGTGGGTGACTTCTTCTCCTTCCCTTTGCCTTTGCCTTGCGGCTTAGACTTGGAAGAGGATGGCTTGTTGTAGGCTACTGCAGAAGTCCCTACAACGTTCTCTTTCATCATAGTTTTCTCAGCAGTTACTAACATGTTTAGTAACTCAGAGAGAGTATGATTCATCTTATTCATGTTGTAGTTCATTACGAACTGCGAAAATGAATCAGGAGGAGAAGCCAATATAAAGTCCTGGGCCAATTCCCCGTCAAGTGGAG